TGCAACCCCTCCTTTTTTTTCTCTTTCCATTTGCTTGGTAAATCTTCCTCCATCCCTTTATTTTGAGCCTATGTGTGTCTATGCATGTGAGATGGGTCTTCTGAATACAGCACATGATGGGTTTTGACTTTTTATCCAATTTGCCAGTCTGTGTCTTTTAATTGGTGCATTTAGCTGGTTTACATTTAAGGTTAATATTGTTATGTGTGAATTTGATCCTGTCATTATGATGCTAGCTGGTTATTTTGCCCATTAGCTGATGGAGTTTCTTCATAGTGTCGATAGTCTTTACATTGTGGTATGTTTTTGCAGTGGCTGGTACCGGGTTTTCCTTTGTATATTTAGTGCTTCCTTCAGGAGCTCTTGTAAGGCAGGCCTGGTGGTGACAAAATCCCTCAGCATTTGCTTGCCTGTATAGGATTTTATTTCTCCTTCACTTATGAAACTTAGTTTGGCTGGATATGAAATTGTGGGTTGAAAATTCTTTTCTTTAAGATTGTTGAATGTTACCCCCATTCTCTTCTGGCTTGTAGGGTTTCTGCAGAGAGATCTGCTGTTAGTCTGGTGGACTTCCCTTTGTGGGTAACCCAAACTTTCTCTCTGGCTGCCCTTAACATTTTTTCCTTCATTTCAACCTTGGAGAATCTGATGATTATGTGTCTTGGGGTTGCTCTTCTGGAGGAGTATCTTTGTGATATTCTCTGTATTTCCTGAATTTGAATGTTGGCCTGTCTTGCTAGGTTGGGGAAGTTCTCCTGGATAACATCCTGAAGTGTGTTTTCCAACTTGGTTCCATTCTCCCCGTCACTTTCAGGTATACCAATCAAATGTAGGTTTGGTCTCTTCACATAGTCCCATATTTCTTGGAGGCTTTTTTCATTCCTTTTCACTCTTTTTTTCTCTAATCTTGCCTTCATGCTTTATTTCATTAAGTTGATCTTCAATCTCTGATATCCTTTCTTCTGCTTAATTCATTCAGCTATTGATACTTGTGTATGCTGCATGAAGTTCTTGTGCCATGGTTTTCAGTTCCATCAGGTCAGTTATGTTCTTCTCTAACCTGGTTTTTCTAGTTAGCAGTTTCTGTAACCTTTTATCAAGGTTCTTAGCTTCCTTGCATTGAGTTAGAAGATGCTCCTTTAGCTCGGAAGAGTTTGTTATTACCCTCCTTCTGAAGCCTACTTGAGTCAATTCATCAATCTCATTATCTGTCCAGTTTTGTTCCCTTGCTAGTGAGGAGTTGTGATCCTTTGGAGGAAAAGAAGCATTCTGCTTTTTGGAATTTTCAGACCTTTTGCACTGTTTTTTCCTCATCTTTGGGGATTTGTGTACCTTTGGTCTTTGATGTTGGTGACCTTTGGATGGGGTTTTTGTGTGGTTGTCCTTTTTGTTGATGTTGATGCTATTGCTTTCTGTGTGTTTGTTTTCCTTCTAACAGTCAGGTCACTCTTCTGCAGGTCTGCTGGAGTTTGCTGGAGGTCCACTGCAAACCCTGTTTGCTTTGGTATCCCCAGCAGAGGCTGCAGAATAGCAAAAATTGCTACCTGTTCCTTCCTCTGGAAGCTTTGTCCCAGAGGGGAATGTGCCAGATGCCAGCTGGAGCTCTCCTGTATGTGGTATCTGTCGACCCCTGCCGGGAGGTGTCTCCCAGTCAGGAGGCATGGGGGTCAGGGACCTACTTGAGGAAGCAGTCTGTCCCTTAGCAGAGCTTGAGTGCTGTGTTGGGAGATCTGCTATTCTCTTCAGAGCCGGCAGGCAGGAACGTTTAAGTCTGTTGAAGCTGCACCCACAGCTGTCCCTTCCCCAGCGTGCTCTTTCCCAGGGAGATGGGAGTTTTATCCATAAGCCCCCGACTGGTCCTTTCTTTCACAGACCGCCCAGAGAGGAGGAATGTAGAGAGGCAGTCTGGCTACAGGGGCTTTCCCAAGCTGTGGTGGGCTCTGCCCTGTTCGAACTTCATGGTGGCTTTGTTTACACTGTGAGGGGAAAACCGCCTACTTATGCCTCAGTAATGGTGGATGCCCCTCCCCCCACCAAACTCAAGCATCCCAGGTTGACTTCAGACTGCTGTGCTGGCAGTGAGAATTTCGAGCCAGTGGATTTTAGCTTGTTGTGCTCCGTGGGGGTGGGATCTGCTGAGCAAGACCACTCGGCTCCCTGGCTTTAGCCCCTTTACAGGTGAATGAATGGTTCTGTCTCACTGGCCTTCCAGGCACCACTGGGATATGAAAAAAAACTCCTGCAGCTAGCTCAGTGTCTGCCCAAATGGCCGCCTGGCTTTGTGCTTGAAATCCCGGGTCCTGGTGGTGTAGGCACCCAAGGAATTCTCCTGGTCTGCGGGTTGTGAAGACAGTGGGAAAAGTGTAGTATCTGGGCTGGATAGCTCCATCCCTCACAGCACAGTCCCTCACAGCTTCCTTTGGCTAGGGGAGGAAGTTCCCCGCCCCCTTGCACCTACTGGGTGACAAAACACCCCACCCTGCTTCGGCTCCCTCTGTGGGATGCACCCACTGTCTAACCAGTCCCAGTGAGATGAGCAGGGCACCTCATTGGGAAACATAAAAATCACCCCCCTTCTGCAGTGGTCTCACTGGGAGCTGCAGACCGGAGCTGTTCCTATTCAGTCATCTTGCCCGGGAAAATCTGAAAACTGTTTTTAATAATCTGTTTCATTTCCTGTGTCAAATATCAGTGTAGAAACATATTTTTTGAGTATCATAGTTAATCCATGGGCCATGAAATGCAATACATCAAGTGCTGAGTCAGCAAGAGGTGCCCCTTTGTTTTCTCACTCACTGGCAGATAGTGTTTTTACTTGTTTGAATAAACTTTTGAAAAGTAACAAATAATACAAAAATTTTAAAATTAAAAAATTATTTTTGAGATAGAGTCTCACTCTGTTACCCAGGCTGGAGTGCAGTGGCACCATCTCAGCTCACTGCAACCTCTGCCTCTCAGGTTCAAGCAATTCTCCTGTCTCAGCTTCCTGGGTAGCTGGGACCACAGGTATGCACCACCATGCTGGGTCAGTTTTTGTATTTGTAGTAGAGACAGGGTTTCACCATGTTGGCTAGGCTGGTCTTGAACTCCCAGCCTCAAACAATCCACCTGCCTCAGCCTTCCAAAGTGTTGGGATTATAGACATGAGCCATCATGCCAGGCCAAAAGTTTGTTAATGACATTCTGTATGACCCTGCACTTTACATTACAATCTGGAATTTTTCTTGAGCATGTCTATTATTTTTGTTTAAACCCTCAAACAGACCTCCTTACAGCAATTACAAGCTGGTTAGCATTTTTCTTTGGACACAAAAGTGGAAGCTGTTGTTCTGTGGGCCCAAATGAAGAACAGGGTCTGAGGCTTGGACAGGAAAGTGCAAGTTGTACCTAGACAATGCCTTATGATGTATCTTGCTTCAAGATGAAACTTAGAAAGCCTTAGAAATGTGAGCTTCTTGGTCCTCATGGCTTCTTAGTCCTCATGGCTTCTTATTATTCTACCAACTTTTTATTTTGAAAAATGTTGAACCTATAAAAAAAGAAATAGTTATAGAATCCTCATATGCTTTACTAGATTCAATGACTGTTTTAGCATTTTGCCACTTTGTGCTCCCCCTACCCCCACCAGGCACACACGCACACCCCCACGTCCCACACTCTAGATTTATGCGGATTTCCCTGCATGATAAGATTCAGGCTAAACATTTTCGGCAAGACTGCAACACAGCAGAGATTGAAAAGGAATGTGGACAATTGCCCTCTCCTGTGTAAGTGAAGAACTTGAGCAGAGTCCTTCCTCAGATCAGGGGACAGGGTGACAGTTGCACATTTGGGGAGGGACATAGAGTGACTTAAGGAGCTAGTGGGTGTGCAGGGCGATATAGAAAGATGGTGACTTCTGCCAAGTTGCACATTTAAATATTTAAATATTCTCGAGGCTAATACACTTATGTATCATTGGTTTGCAAAACTCTCCCCCACTGTCTACATTTCCAAGGCAAAATCTATGATGATGTTCCTTTCATATCTGCTCACAATGCCTTCCAAAAATTTGTGGACCTTCTGAAAGTTTGTTTTTCACTTCAGTGATATTTTTGATCATCATTTATATCAGGTTTGACTTAAATAAAAAGGTTTGTGGTTTAGGGTAAGGACAGGGAGGGAATCATTGTATGATTTGCCCCATGTCTTGTACTTATTAAAGTCAGCTCCAAACTTGTTTTTATTTTTCATTTGAAAACCATGATTCTCTGTGGTGAAAGGGGCAGAGGAATACTTAGGAGGGAAAATGTTGAGAAGGATTTCCCAAATTGGCATCCGAAGAAACCGTGATGGAAATCCTGCAAGAGGAAATGAAGCAACCAGAAGGATGAGGTCAAATGCTCGAAGTCCTGGAGTCTCCAGGAAATGCTGTAAACAATAGATTGTTTGCCTTAAAATATGACTAAAAAAAGTAAGTGACCAAAAAAATGGTAAACTTCAGAACACTTCGTAGATTTATCTTATAGTTATTAATTTTTTAAGTAAATATTTTTAAATAAATAAATGTTTATTTATTTATATCTCTGTGTCCTGGGGCACATTACCTCTGTGGCAAAGATGTCAGAAAACTGATTTTAAAAAATACTGGCCAAGACTTGTAAATAACAAGGGCAAACAGCTATCCAGAAGTCCTGGGAGAATGGGGGTTCTGGGGCCCACCCAGGCTCGAGCTGGAGTCCCCAAGCCAGATCATGGGAAACAGTGGTAGCTATCGGACTTTTTCCCTCTAGGTGGTTCTCCAGGCCTTAGAGTCTCCTCTTTGACAGGTAGTGGAGGCTGCAGAACAGGACAGCAACACAATAGTGAACCCCGGGCAAAGACTGAGTTTCCTAACTTTCTGCTCTTGTCAGTGGCTTCTTGAAGGTCAGGGCTGAGTTCACAGAAAAAGTAGCACAATGGCTGTAAATTAATTATTGCTATAATTTCCATTCCTATTTTTCTTTACTTCCCATTGGCAGGTGGCTCATGCTTAAGTGCTCAAAAAGTTGAGCCCCAAGATGCCTGGGCAGCGGTTGGCATGTGAAATGAGCTATGTCCCTCGGAATACCGTCCTTATCAGTAGCTGTGCTAAAGAAACATCTGCCCCCACAAAAAGTCAAGGGCAAAGGTCATCTGGCATTCCAAGGGAACTCTCCGCAGCAGGGAGACTTCTAATTGGCTGGTATTGATTGGTAAGTTGTTTCCCTGCTGTGATTAATTCCAGCCCCCCCACAAACTCCCACAGCATGAGCGTGATAGGTCAAGGTTTGGGGCCTCTAAGCATCCTTTACAAATGGACCTCAGGTCCTTAAAGGTACCAGTGAAGGATTGCAGCTTGTTAAGTCTTCCTGGCTGCTGGTGCTAACCCAGGAAGCCGGTTTCATTCAGTTTCCTTGCTATCACTAATAGCAGCTTAATGGGATGCTAATGTGAGGAACAGACGTTATCTGATGGCTTGTGCGATTTATGATGGATTTATTGCCACTCTGTGTTCCCTTGGTGTTCAGTGCATCTTTTCCCCATCCATCCCTGTTATTGGCCTTAGCAAATGGTTTCATAATTAATTAATTTTTTTTTTCCTGAAGGGGGTTAAATTATTTTTGCCCTGCTGCTTTTCCTCCATATTTAATTCCCAATGGGCGACTCTTCTCTATGTGCCTACCAAAGAGGGAATATACTAACTCACAGCTGTTCTCTCCGTGGCCTCCTCTGTGCCTCCACCTCTCCTGCCAGCTAATGCCTACTCATCTTTCTAGAATAGTGGTTCTCAGGCTTCACTCTTCACTGGAGTTACCTGGGCGAACTTTTAAAATACTTAGACCTGGGCTGCATTCCCAGAGACTCTGATTTAATTGTTCTGGGGTGCTGCCTGAGTATTGGGTGTTAGAAAGGCTAATTCTAATGTGCATAGTTGAGGAGCACTGAAGTAAGATTCTAGACCGTGCTGAATGCTACTTAGCCCATGATGCTTGCTTTTCCCATGTCTCCCAGTGGGCACAATCTCCCGTTCCTTGTAATCCAAATAACACTGTATGCATCCTTGGAATCCACTTAATACTTCACACATTTCCATTGGCAGCCACCTTACAGTTCACCTGTTTGTGAACTTGTCTCATTGCCATTATCAGACTGTGAGCTACTTTGGACACAGTGCCCGAGCCATCATGGTGCCATTGCAGCGCCTTGCGCATAACAGGAATTCAGTAAGTATTTATTGACTTGAGTTTTCTACCAGTGACAACACTTCTTGGGAAGTGTGCTACCAGCCCCCAGTCCTGAATCCATATCAGGCAACAGGAATGGATTCTATTTTCGGGCCCCAAAGACAGATTTTTCCTGCCAGTGTGTCCCTGCTACCTTCTACCATCCTCTCACCAGGGTGACCACATGTCCTGGTTTGCTGGGGACAGTCACTGCTTATGCCTTTTGTCCACTGTTATTATGAATAGCACCTCCTTTCACTCTCAAAGGTGTCCCAGTTTGGATGACAAATTATAGGGTTCCTCTACTCACCCTCCTCCTCCAGGTCTCTTTCCTCAAGTCAGCCTAAAAAAGGAAGACTGCTTCAGAACCCATATCTTCTTTATGAACTAAGCTTAAATAAGCTTAGAAAGGCCTGTACTAATACTACATAATTTTTTAATTCCACGTACAAAAAAATTATGAAAACTGGTAGAACTAATCTATATTGTTAGAAGTCAGGAAAGGAGTTTTCTTTAGATGAAGAATGCCTGGAAGGGGGCCCAAGGGCTGGTTCTGGGATGCTGTAGGGATTCTGTTTCTTCATCTGAGTACTGGTTTCACAGGTATATTCATTTTATGAAACTTCATCACATGTAACATTTATGCACTTTTCTATATGTATGTTATATTTTTATCATTTTTTTTTAAAGAGGGCTAAATTATTATCAGTAGAGAACTGCAAAAGTCAGTGTTTATTCTTATTAATGAATGTTAACTGTTCTGATTGGCAAATTCTTGTCAGCACCAGCAAAGTTCTACAACACACAGAACACCCAGGAAATCTAGTGTTCGTCTTCTTGGAGACATATATTATTATCGTTTTATTAAGAATATTATTTTTTTATTAGGAAAATATATGTCGTCAGTTAAAAATATAGTACAGTCTTGTTTATTATATAATGCTTCCAACAATTCTGTGAACTAGGTGAGTGTTTTCTCATACTACAGATGAGAAAGCTGCCGCAGAGGTGTTGGAAATGGGCTGAGTTTATATGGGCTGAACTTATCCAGAGTAGGTTGTAGAATTGCCAGGGTGTTCAGCTGTCTCAGTGACAGAATCAGATTAAATGTATGGCTGATCTTATTGATTGGGCAGAAATCAACTCAGAGAGCTTAAAACAAAACAAAATTAAACTACAACTGGAAAATAAACAGTCAATTTTGTGGCTTTAAATAGAAAAGACCAGAATGTCAATAGCTGAATTGAGATTAGGACCAAGAGTTTCTGAGTTTCCAGAAAGCATGGTCAAAGTCTAGGCACCATGAGAGACTCAGTCCCAAATTGAGAGAATTTGCCGAGGGTTTGACATGAACCCTGCCTTGTTTGAGCCCAGTTCTCCAAGCCCAGAGCAGAGGTTCTCCAGGATGGAATCCTCTTAGAGACTCCTCAGTGACTGTCCCCATCTCCTTTCCATTCTATCCCTCTCTATATGACTAGAGAGAATTGTTTTCCCTTTTAGGCATAGCTAACATGGGCAAATGAAACAAATTAGTTTTCATTATTACAGATAATAAATAAATCTTGTGGTGAAATAAATAATATAATATATAATAATGGACTGAAAAAACACAGCTCAAAACAGACAAAGCTGGGTAAAAACAAAAACCATCAAAAGTAGAGAAAGTCAGAGAACTATCCAGTCAAGCAATAAAGCAACAACATCTGAGAGGCCTCATGTACTGTCCTGAAGTGACTTTTAGCTACTCACGCTGTGTTAACTGTTGATGAAATGTCATTGAGCTTAAAATAAAATAAGTTTGTAGTCCTAGATAACACTCTGCAAGAGCAAATAATATTAGGCCACTATACACCGATATATGAAGAAATAACTCATAGCAATGTACCAATATGTCAAGATTTTTCACAGGAGGGAGTATGAAAACTAGCTGGATGGTGTCAGGCTCGTTTAAAAGCTCATTTACTCCCCTTAGTCACTGTCCTTTAACCTTTACATGGCATCTCTCCTGGTCTCTTGTCGATGTGCTTGTCAAAGCACCAGCTTAATAGTGCTGGTCCATCAGCAGAGATGTGTTAAATGTAAAGATGGCAAAGTTCCCCACAGAAAGCTACATGCAGACTCTGGAGCCAGCTGAAGTCATGGGGCGTCGGGTGACAATGAGACTATGTCATCAAATGACATGTATCCCTGAGGTGCCCAATGAATTTTACACAAAGGGTTTTTTTTTTCCTATTGTATTATTCTGACATCTTGCTAAAAACAAAAAGAGAAAAGAAAGAGGACAGACATTTCTATTCCGCAGAAAGGAAAGCTTGGACTCAAAGAAGTTGCCCGAATTGCTCTAGATGACTTTATTTGGGATTTCCTGGTTTCCATAAACAGCCACCCATCTGCCTACCCTCCCTCTCCCACTCACTTCTGACCACAACTGCACCCTGCTCTGTGTTAGGGGGAGTGGATTTGATGTCTCGGAGGCAAGGGGTGTGCCTGAGGTGAGTGGGCATGTCCATACCTCCCTACTTTGTGAAATGATCGCAGCAGAGATCACCCACATACTCCCAGCCTGGTTCAGTGCAACATATGTCTGGTTCATTAGATGCAGCCTGTTCAGGCCTCTTCTCTTCTACCTGCTGAGACTTCATATCCACAGAATCCAGTTAACACCTCTGAGTCACAGGAGGCTGCCCTATCAGAAGACTACACACTTCCCACCTTCCCAGCTCAGGAGTCACAAGACCTGAGTTCAGATTTCAGCTCTGCCACTTACTGAGGCGAATACTTGTATCCATCTTAATGTCAGGTGGTCATGTTGAGTAACCTCTGATTTTTTATCTAAAAGTATTTCTTTTGGATAATTGAATGGAAAAACTACCTTAAATTGCTTAGTACAGGAGTCATCACTGTATAGTCTGCCTGCTGCCTGTTTATGGAAATAAAGTTTTATTGGAACACAGCTGTGCCCATTCATCTAAGGCTAGCATTTATGTTTATTGTTTACAGCTGCCTTTTTGCTACAGTATCAGAGATGAGTGGTTGTCCCACATAGTAGGTCTGTACCATGTATGAGTTGCTTACTCCTTTTCTTCTATTTGTCTTCACTCTTAACTGTATGCTCCTAATCAGTTACTCTCTAATTATCCAACCCCTCCCTAGAAACAGACTGACTACACTTTCTTTGAACAGTAATTTGCTGGAGAGTTTCAATTTCACTTTGGTCACTGCTGCGTCTTAGTGACAATAAGGAATTCATCTGGGGTGGATGGGGGTGATAGGGTGGGGGTGGGGCAGGAGGAGGTGAATAGGAAGCATTGTAGCTTCGCACTTCGTGAGTGGACTCAGTGAGGGACAACCACAGACACAGACCCTAGTTCAGTGTCCTATCTTTGTGTTTCATCAAACAACTACAGGATTTCGTTTGTTTATTGTTAGCAGGAGTACATGGTGTAAGAGCAAGTCGAAACATTTTTTCCCCCTAATTTCAGCATCGTTAAAAAAAGTATATTCTCCAATGTATTGTGATATCAATGTAGTGAAAAGAGGCCTGGTAAGAGAAGTCAGAAAATCTAGGTTCAAGTCTGGGTTTATCTTAGTTTTATTATGTTGGTCAAGCCACAACTGAAGAAACTTCAGTTTCTTCAGAACTAAGACTGAGGATAGTAATACGACTTGATTCCTAGCATGATCCTGAAGCACAAAAGATAATGCAGGTGGAAAACTTTGTCAATTATGAGGCCATCTGTAAAATGTGACACATATGTATAATAGGGTGTTTCAGGGGATTTCATTATTTTCTTTTTCTTTTTCTTTTTTTATATTTACATCAAATGCACAGTTTCAGTTTTTACAATAGGTTCTGATATCTTACAAGGCTGATCCCTAAGAATATTTGTATTTGGCTAGTTTTCCTGTTTATAGATTTGAATGTTTTTAATAAGATAAGCACTAAGCTTAGCAATTCGTCAATGTTCATTCTAATGACCTCCAAGAAACGCCCCATTGGATCTTTAGACAGAATTATTTTAGTAAGTTTGAGGAGCCTTGGCATCTTTATGTTGAATTTTTCCATCTAATAAAAATATAACTCTTCCTCTTAATTATTAAAAATATATCCCCCAATCAAGGTTTTAAAACTTTTAATACATTTCTTACTGAGCTTATAAATATTTTATATTTGTTGCTATTTGAATGGCTTTTCTTTCGCTTTATATTATCTGTCTGGTTATTGCCAGTATATAGAAATACTGTTGCTTTTTAGGTATTTATCTTATTCCAAGTCACTTTATGACTCCTTATTTAAATTAAGAAAGCTTTTAGTTAATTCTTTTGACTTTTTCAGATTGTATTTGTGTGATTTTCTTGTACTTTAGTACCTTAGTTCACAAAATTTATTCATTTTGTTTTTGTAACTTACTGCATTAACCAGAGAATCTAAAGTGATAATGATGCTAGCTGATAGTCCCAGCTACTCCGGAGGCTGAGGCACGAGCATTGCTTGAGCCTGGAAGACAGAGGTTGCAGTGAGCCGAGATCGTGCCACTGCATTCCAGCCTGGGTGACAGAGGAAGACTCTGTCTCAGAAAAACCCCAAAAACCAAACAAACAAAAACCCAAAACAGAGATAATCATACTAAAGGACATTCTTTGTGTTTGTTTCTGATTTTCAATGTTTACCAATTAATTATAAACTTTATTTACTTTAAGCCAAGAGCATCTTTATCACATTGAAGGAGCATCCTTCTATTCCTATTGAAATGTTTACTCTATAATTAGGAAAAGGTGTTGATTTTATCAGATGTGGTATCTATGAAAATATCACATTGACTAATTATTGTTGAATCAGTGAATACTCAGTGGATTATCTTCTCCTTGGAAATCAATCCCTGTGGTCAGCTGACTGGCTCTGCTAACAGTGACAGATGTGTAAACGGTGCCTTCATGAGTTCAAACATTTCAGGACCAAACTTTTTGTACAAGAAAGTGGCCCAATGCAGAAGCAAGGA